GAGCTGATGAACACTGCTGAGAGGGGGAGCTGAGCTGAAGAGACACTGCTGAGAGGGGAGCTGAGCTGATGAGACACTGCTGAGAGGGGGAGCTGAGCTGATGAGACACTGCTCAGAGGGGAAGAGCAGGATGAGCTGAGCTGAAATTGGGGAGCTAACCCCCAAAATAAAGTCTTTCTCACCTTGTCATTGCTGAATCAGACTTGTGCTGAGATGTCCCGGCACAGATAACCATATACAGGGGAGACATGGATGGGATGTTGGTGTTGTATTGGGGAGGAGCAGGCTATCATAGAGTAGGATAGAAGTGTATGCTGTTGGCATTGCCGGCCCCATGTTGTGCGGGGTCAGGTGACGTGTGTCTTGTGCTCCCTCCTATATCGTTCCCCTGTGTTGGGTCGTCTGATATTTGCGCCCCTCCTCAGGCTTTCCTCTGATGTGATCCGGGGAGACGTGACCTGGCGGCATTACCACAAATGAACAATAAATAAGAGGAGAAGCTGAAGTTTAATGAGGTCATCTTATATATATCTGTGTATATAGGGGGTGACACCCCCACACAGGTATCCAGAGCGCAGTGCGCCGTGACCATCAGCCGTCCATCCGGGATGTGTAGTGACAGGCCGCACAAGCACATCCAGCTCATGTCAGAGGGAATCAATCACTGCACTGACCGCAGGCCTCTTCCTGCTCCCTGGACTGTCATGGCGGATCTGTAACTCACATGTAGGCAAATGACGGTCACGTGATGAGGGAGAAAAGGTTTTCACGGGATGCAGCGTGTACTGTCTGTGACTCTGTCACATGTCCCAGGCTGCAGTTTATTATAAACTATTATTATAAAGCATCAGTTTGTATTGTTTGCTTAAGTGACCCAGGCCTCAATGTATATTATCTGTATGTGTCACATGACCCAGGCTGCATCGTATATTAACTGTATATGGGTCACATGACCCAGGCTGCATAGTTTATGGACTGTATACCTGTCACAGAACCCACAATGCAGTGTGTACATTTTCGGTATAGGTGTCACATGACCCAGGCTGCGGTGTATATTGTCTGTATAGGTGTCACATGACCCTGGCTGCAGTGTATATTGACCTGTATAGGTGTCACATGATCCAGGCTGCGTTGTATATTGTCTGTATATGTGTCACATGACCCTGGCTGCAGTGTATATTGTCTGTATAGGTGTCACATGACCCAGGCTGCAGTGTATATTGACCTGTATAGGTGTCGCATGACCCAGGCTGCAGTGTATATTGTCTGTTTAGGTGTCACATGACCCAGGCTGCAGTGTATATTGTCTGTATAGGTGTCGCATGACCCAGGCTGCAGTGTATATTGTCTGTATAGGTGTCACATGACCCAGGCTGCAGTGTATATTGTCTGTATAGGTGTCACATGACCCAGGCTGCATGGTTTATTTTCTGTATAAGTGTCACATGACCCAGGCTGCAGTGTATATTGACCTGTATAGGTGTCACATGACCCAGGCTGCAGTGCATGTGGTAAAGTACTCAGTGGTAGATCCAAAGCTGTTACTGTACTGTAGGTGATGTAAATTTTTACATGTAAGACATTCGCTGTGTTTGCAGCTTCCAGTTCCGGATAGACGAATGTATTAAGCAGATGTCGGAGATTCTCAGTCACGTGAAGAGCACCGGCAATGTGGCAGCTAACGCCAGGAACACGGTGGCACAGGACGCCGACAATGTTCTGCGCCCCCTGATGGACTTCCTGGATGGCAAGTGAGTACTGCGACTCTTCTCCATCCAACTTTCCACCGCAGACTTTGGAAAAAGGAAATGGGCCAATTTTTTTTTTACTTCCGTCCTTGTGATATCCACCCCATCCCACCCCACCCCATCCCA